GGAGAGTATGGGGGTGCCGTGTGTGTGAGCCGTCCCCTGCTCCTCCTCCTCCTCCGTCTCCCACTGCTGCAGCTGCCGCTGAGGAGGGTGGATGTGTTGGAGCCGTCGGAGTGGTACGAGGGGGGTGGCGTGTGAGCGGTGCTAGTGGTTCAGCAGGGAGTGTGTGAAAGGGGTGTGGGACAGTTGGGGGAGGTTGACCGGATGTAGCCGACTTGTCGTCCGCAGCGCCTGAAGTCCAGAGAGCCACGACCCCCTGTGGCCTGAGTAGTCCGGGGCTCTGCGCCCGGTAGCCACAGTGTGAGCACTCCTAGTAGTCCAGAGAGCCACGACCCCCTGTGGCGTGAGTAGTCCGGGGCTCTGCGCCCGGTAGCCACAGTGTGAGCACTCGTGGGAGCACAGCGAGCCAGCAGCGCCTGTCGCCGTGTAGTCCGGGTTTAGCCTGGTAGCGACAGTGCTGCGCACTTCTGTTGCCCATGTGTCTGCAGCTTCAGCCGTCGTCTCGCATCTTCTCTCCCCCACAGTTTCTCCTCCTCCTCACTTGCTCTTTGTGATAGTCTCTAGCGCTGCTTATAATTGTGAACTACTACTCTGCCTGCTTGTTGTGTTGATTGTACCCCACTTTGACTATGGGGGTGTGTCAGAATGTGATGTTTGTGTAGCCTGCAGTGGGGTACTCTATAGCGAGTACAGCCCGAATTAGGGTTTGCTATATGTACTCAACTGCTTGCTAGTGAAAACCCCTCTTTTCTGTTTATCGTTTTTGCCTGCTGTTTCAACAACATGTGCCGTGGATTCAAGGCACCTGGACACTATAAGGGACGGTCGTTGGATAGGGTAACACCAACATTGCAAGCTCCACGGTAATTCTTTCCTGTGCAGTGTATCCCCGGTCGATGTGCGACACCTGGAACTACGATAGGCGGAGCGATGGTCGCCGCGTGGAACGCGTCGAAATAGTCGGCACGCTGGGTTTCCCTCGCAACACACCTTGACTTCTCCCGTGACGCGTGGCCCCATCATGGGCATCATGGCGGACCACGATGTTTCTACGATGCCGGAGACAATCTCGGTTGTCCTCCTTGTCAGAATCCCAACCACTAGACCATTGGGATAAAAGGGCTTGTTAAGTAGCGGGTCAGTGCGCCCATAACCCCCCAGGCCAACGTGCCTGTAACCCTTCCCTAGGATCAATCGGGGATCACCAGTGGACCTCTGACACCCCCCCGCACTGGGATGCCCGAAGTGTATACACCGGGATTCGAACCCGAGACCTTCGCTCTGATACCATGTCAGAATCCCAACCACTAGACCATTGGGATGAAAGGGCTTGTCAAGTAGCGGGTCAATGCGCCCATAACCCCCCAGGCCAACGTGCCTGTAACCCTTCCCTAGGATCAATCGGGGATCACCAGTGGACCTCTGACACTCCTGCGCCGCGTGACAAGCATTCGGAGGTGACATGTCGAGCTGGCAAATCGACCCGTGCTGAGATACACCCATTGGGTTTGTCTCAACGCAACCCAAGGTTGACGGGTCATCAACAATCCTAAGGCTCTCGTGCCAGCAACACTGCTTGTTTGCCGGGAGGTCAACGGGAGCACGACTGGCCAAAAAGGGGGCCTGTAATTTCTAAGCCGCGATATTGACAACCGAAGGATCGAAGTGGACAGGATAAGATTGCTAAGTTGTAGGAATGTCAGAATGAACAAGAGTGAATGAACTAGAAACGAGTTGGGTACAAGTAGGAAACCCTAACTTACTTTATCCCATAGTAACTACCCCACTACAGCCTAAACCAACTGTAGCAGATATAACATTTGACACACCCCCATAGGCAATGTGGGGGAGAGCAAGGGGTCACAAGACCAGTCAAGAAAGGCAAAGCAAGCTCAGGGTGGATCACAATGTCACCACACTCACTGAGCACAACCAAAGGGCCACAAGGCCAGTTCACATGCAGAGGCATATATGCAACACAAACATCACAGTGATCTCTACCTAGCAAAGCAAGCATGCAGGTATATATATATAGATGACAGTACAAGCACAGCCTACAGCAAGTGAGGAAAAGTGGGCACAAGCCCTAGCATAGTGCAGAAACGCTGATGATCGCCAGACTGAAGTGCCTTGGTGAATATATCAGCAGTGTTGGCCCGAGTGGCCACGTAACGCAGACGAAGCTGACCACGCTGCTGCAAATCTTGAGCCAGGAAGTAACGCAGAGCGATGTGCTTCGTCCTGTGCTCCAGTCTGTGCTCCTCACACAAGGCAATGGTAGCCTTGTTGTCGACGTACAGCACTGGAGGAGAACGAGGCGGCTCTCCCAAGTCAGTCAGCAGGTAGGTGAGCCAGCGTAACTCCTGTGCAGCCATGGCTGTGGCGTAGATCTCAGCCTCACAACTGGAGCTGAGAACTGAAGACGAGCATGTAGAACGCCAAGAAACTGAACCAGAGCCAAGGCTGAAGGTGTAACCCTGTGACGACCGCTGAGTAGCCTGGTCGTCGACCCAAGAAGCGTCTGAGTGCCCAGTGAGAACAACTGAGCTCCTCCCTCCAAGCACGAGCCCCATGACCGATGTACTGCACAAGGAGCGCAGTACCCTCTTAGCAGCATCCATGTGCACCTTTCGGTGCCGACCAGGAGCCATGTAGCGAGCAAGAAGGCCAAGAGGGTACGCGAGGTCAGGAGGAGTGCAAGTCATCAGGTACATGAGGCAGCCAACTAGCTCTGGGTAAGGACCACTCGGCTCTACGGACTCGTCCGAAGGTGGAGCTGAGAGCGAGTGACCTGTAGCCAGAGGAGTGGCCTGTGCCGAGGACCAGGTGAAGCCGAAGCGCTGAAGGACCTGCTGCACCATGTGTGACTGAGTCAGTGTGATGGTGCGGCGTGCTCTGTCCCGGGTGATCTGCAAGCCAAGGTAGCTGCGCAGTTCACCCAGGTCTGTGCACGTGTGTCTCTTCTGCAGTGGCAAAGACCAAGTCGTCGACGTACACGAGGATGTAGAACGGCGGCAGCGAAGTGTCGGTGCGCAGAAACAGCGACGGGTCAGCAGTAGAAGGCGCGAACCCAAGAGCCGCAAGTGTAGTCCTCAGTGTGTCGTGCCACTCACGTGGCGCCTGGCGGAGACCGTAGACCGGCCGTCGGAGGCTCCACTGGGTACCAGGAGGGAACGACCCAGTGAAGCCAGGAGGGCGGCGCAGCCAGATCTCCTCGTGTAGGCTGCCCTGCAAGAAAGCTGTGCTGAAGTCAAGAGAGTGAAGCTCGTAGTCACGCTGAGCGGCAACGTGCAGTAGCACCCGAAGAGTGGTCATCTTCGGGGTGGGGGAGAAGGTCTGGAAGAACTCTACTCCCTCCCGCTGACTGAAGCCTCGAGCAACATAACGAGCCTTGAAGACAGGCGGAGAACCTGGCGGCCGCTTAACCCTGAAAATCCACATGCCACTGACGATGTTCGCCCCAGGAGGGGGAACCTCGTCGACGTAATTGTCAGTGGACTTCCAGGATGCCATCTCTGCATCCATGGCTGACTGCCAGTGAGAGGAGTACTCACCCGCGATCGCCTCAGCGTAAGAGCGCGGGGTCGGGATGTCTGGTGCATCCGGGTCTCCCTCAGGTGCAATCAGCATGGACACGAGATGAGGTACAGCAACGGCAAAGCACTCAAACTCCTCCTGCCTGTCCTCAAGGACGTCCGTGCCAAGAGCACACTCACCCCCGACGGACGGAGGACAGATAGACTCAGACTCAGCAACAAGACTGGCAGCGTAGTCTAGACGACAGTGAGCAGCAAAGTCGACAAGCTCAGCAACTAAGGCAGACGCAGCAGCTGACTCAAAGGAAAGGTCAGTGACAGCAGTGGCCAGGAGAGGCGTGACAGTAGGACTAGCAGCACGAAGAGAGTCAGACTCCGGGTCAGCAAGGGCAGTAAGAGAGGACGCAGGAGGAGAAGGCAGAGGGACACGCTGTGGAGCAGTGGAAAGACGAAGCCTCATCTGGTGAGTGCCTGGGACAGCAGGAGGACGCTGACGTGGGACACGACGACCAGTGCGAGCAGCACGAATAGGTGACGCAGAATGAGACGCAGGCGACACAGGGCGAGACTCAGGCTCACGACGCTCCGTAAGACCTCCTGTCGGACCAGTGTAGGGAGAAGGACCAGGAAGTGGCGAGGCAGGTGGTAACTGTGACTGCGACTGGACAGGTGGAGGACACTCTAAGGAGGGAGCAGGACAAGGAGGAGGCGGCTGACCAAGAACCTGCTCGAGGAGCGGAACGAAGTACGGCCGCGGACGTGAAGTGCCCCCAGAACCAGCAGAGACAGCACCAGAACCCCCAGCAGCAGCTCCAGTAGCGCCAACTGTTACAATACAATCTGAGCTGTTAACCGGGTTTAACTAAGGGCCTAGGCTTAGAAGCCTAGGCCAAGCGGGTATCGAGGGAGTTGTGCCAAGGGAGAATCGAGAATGATTGGTTTCACTATAGCACACAAGGTACATATAGCAAAATAGCAACGGTGCACCACCAACAACAAGAAGGCATAACTACACTAAAGCTAAAGCTACAGGCAGTTATAAACATATATAAAATATATATCGCGACACACCCCCTTAACTCCCTGCAGCACATAACTATAGCAAGTCACACCCCCGGAACTTGGGCAAGAGGTAGAAGAAGCAGGGGAAACAGCAACACAGATCAACCATGTTAAATGCAACAACGGCAAGTGCAGGACCCGAGAGGTGGGCGTGAGAGCAAGCGCCGTGGCTACAACGAGCAGCTGGACAGCGCGGCTCAGCACCTCCGGGGGCGTGCCTGCTACAGGCAGCAGATGCAGTGATGGCAGATAGAGCCACAGTGACCTCAGCCACGGCAGATGCAGCAGCAACAGGTGCAGGACCCGGCAGGTGGGCGTGAGAGCAGGCGCTGTGGCTGCAACGAGCAGCTGGACAGCACCGCTCAGCACCTCCGGGGGCGTGCCTGCTACAGGCAACGGCTGCAAATGCCCGACTTACTTCTTCCACCCCTTTACCCGCCACTCAACCCCTCTGGTGCTGGCGGCTGCGCTGGGGCTGGTTCCTGGTGCTGGCGGCTGGCGCTGGGGCTGGTTCCTGGAGCTGGCGGCTGGCGCTGGGGCTGGTTCCTGGTACTGGCGGCTGGCGCTGGGGCTGGTTCCTGGTACTGGCGGCTGGCGCTGGGGCTGGTTCCTGGTGCTGGCGGCTGGCGCTGGGGCTGGTTCCTGGTGCTGGCGGCTGGCGCTGGGGCTGGTTCCTGGTGCTGGCGGCTGGCGCTGGCGGCTGGCCCTGGTGCTGGTCCTGGTGCTGGCGGCTGGCCCTGGTGCTGGTGCTGGTGCTGGTGCTGGCGGCTGGCCCTGGAGCTGGTGCTGGTGCTGGCGGCTGGCCCTCGAGCTGGTGCTGGTGCTGGCGGCTGGCCCTGGAGCTGGTGCTGGCCCTGGAGCTGGTGCTGGTGCTGGCGGCTGGCCCTGGAGCTGGTGTTGGTGCTGGCGGCTGGCCCTGGAGCTGGTGCTGGTGCTGGCGGCTGGCCCTGGAGCTGGTGCTGGTGCCTGGTGCTGGCGTGACGGCGCTGGTTCTGGTGCTAGCCCTGGTGCTGGGGCCTGGTGCTGGCGTGACGGCGCTGGTTCCGGTGCTGGCGCTGGTGACTGGCGTCGGTGCTGGTGCTGGTGCTCGCGGCTGGCGGGTCCGATGGCAGGTGATGCGCGCTGGGCGGGACGGGGGACTGGAACGGGCGGGGTATTTGGGTCCACTGGTGGTGGTACGGATGGGGTGCAAGGTGCGGGTCGCGGCGTAGAAGAAGCTTCTCCCGCCACTCCCATCACCCCCGCCACTCCCGCCACTCCCTTCCCCCTTTTCCTCTCTCTCCCCCACAGCATTCCGCCGCCACTCCCTTCCCCCTTTTCTACTCCCCCCCACAGCGTTCCGCCGCCAATCCCTTCCCCTCCTCCCTCTCCCACCCACAGCGACCGCCGCTGCACACGCGAACAGTCGCGACGGGGTGGGTGACGGGCAGGGGGGCCGGGGGAATGCGACGGGCGGAGCGAGGCGACGGGAGGGAAGAAAACGGGACGGGGGGGGAAGGGCCGCGACGACCGCCACGGACGCCGTCCCCTTCATTCCCGATGCCGCCCCCCCCCCCCCTTCCCCACTCTCGCGCAAACTCGGCAGCAGGCGTAGGCGCGGGCAGAGGTGGTGACGGGGGGGAAACGCGACGGGCTGACGACGAGGGAAACGCGACGGGCTGGCGACGGGGGAAATGCGACGGGCTGGCGACGGGGGAAAACGCAACGGGCTGGCGACGGGCAGGCGACGAGGGAAAAATAAACGACGGGCTGGCGACGAGGGAAACGCGGCCAGCTCGCCGCCGCGCCCGTCGCAGCGAGCGCCGTGCCGCGAATGGGTGGGCCCATTAAAATCGCAGGTCCTAGAAGGAACTACGCTCTGTTACCATGTTACAATACGATCTGAGCTGGTAACCGGGTTTAACTAAGGGCCTAGGCTTAGAAGCCTAGGCCAAGCGGGTATCGAGGGAGTTGTGCCAAGGGAGAATCGAGAATGATTGGTTTCATTATAGCACACAAGGTACATATAGCAAATAGCAACGGTGCACCACCAACAACAAGAAGGCATAACTACACTAAAGCTAAAGCTACAGGCAGTTATAAACATATATAAAATATATATCGCGACACCAACTCCAGTACCCCCAGTAGCACCAGCTCCAGCCACACCGTCGGCTCTAGTACCTGCAGGAGGACGAGTGTCAGTACCTCCAGCTCCAGCCCCTGCAGCACCACCAGCCGCAGTACCAGTAGCACCTCCAGCGGCTCCAGTAGCACCCCCAGTCCCAGCAGCTCCAGTACCGCTAGTACGAGCACCTCCAGGACCAGTAGCTCCAGCACCTCCAGCGCCAACCCCAGGGTCAGCAGCTACACCAACTCCAGTAGGCCCAGCATCCTCAGCTCCAGCTCCAGTAGCACCTCCAGCGCCCACAGTACCACGGCGGCGGCGACAGTACCGAGAGTACCACTCACGCAGCTGCTGGGAAGAGAGAGCGCCCCCAGGCGCAGCACCCCTAGGCTCAGGACCTCCAGGCTCAGCACCCCCAGGCTCCGCACCCCCAGGCTCAGTACCCCAAGGCGCAGCACCCCCAGTTTCAGCACCCCCAGGCTCAGCACCCCCAGGCTCAGCATCCGTAGTCTCCGCACCCCCAGGCTCAGCACCCCCAGTCTCCGCACCCCCAGGCTCAGCACCCCCAGTCTCAGTACCCCAAGACCCAGCACCACCAGGTTCAGCACGCTCAGGCTCAGCACGCTCAGCACCTCGCGCAGGACCAGAGTCGACAGCTACCTCGACAGGCTCGACCTGGTCTACCTGGGAAACACCTGAGGGAGCAGGACCCTGAGGAGGCAGGGGGTCTACCGAAGCAGCACCTGACGTGAGGAAGAGCGGCGGAGGGGGCAGCGGGGCAGTGCGGTAGGGGAAGAGACGGTAAAAGGGGACCGACTCGTCAAACGTGACATCCTGAGAGGGGAAGACACGGCGCGAGGTGGGGTGGTAAAACTGCCAGCCAGGCGCGTCAGGGACAAAGCCCAGGAAGACACAGGGAACGGCGCGGGAGGAGAGCTTGTCCGCGGACGTATCGCGGACAAAGGCACGAGAACCCCAGACCCGGAACACGGACGCATCGCCAACCTCTCCCGTCCAACGCAGTGTCGGCGAGGTCTCCGGAACGGCGACACGGGGCCAGAGGTTGAGCTGATGCGCGGCGTACCGGACCGCAAACGGCCACAGAAAATGGGGGGCAGCCGCATGGATCAAGGAGGTACGAGCGACCTCCATGACTAAGCCAATGCGGCGCTCAGCAACCCCATTCTGCTGCGGAGAGGCCGGAAGCGTGAACGTCTGGTGAATGCCCTCCCCCTAACAGAAGGTCTCCAAGAGGCCGGAGGAAAACTCACCACCTCTGTCAGAGTGCAGTCGCAGGACGGGAAGGTCCGTGCGAAAGTGCCTCTCCAGCTGGAGACGAGTAGCGCGGATCCAAGGGATCAAGACAGCAGGGACCTCTCCCTTGGTGCGCAAGGGGAAGACCGTGGTGTAGCGCGTGTAGTCGTCAACTACCAGCAGGAAGTAGCGCTCTCCGCTCTGTCCACGGACGCGGGCCGGGCCCCACACGTCCATGTGAAGGGTCTGCAGAGGAGCCTCTGTCGGGGGGAACTCAAATGAGTGAGGGGTGGCACGCTGCCGCCCCTCGACACAGGGAAGGCAAGGAAGGGCAGGGGACGGTGGCAGGGGAGGCAGTGACCTGGGCAGACCAGAGACGAGGAAACGAGAGTGCATGCCACGAAGGTGCTGCATCGAAGGGTGACCAAGGCGGTGGTGCCAGAGGACCGTCCGGTGTGAGAGGGTGCGACACGAGCAGGGGGCGGACAACTGACCTGACGCAGACGCAGACGCCGCTACCTGAGGGGACTCAGTGGTCAGTGTGCACAAGTCCGACCCCGGCTGCCGAGTGAAGGTAGCCAGGTGACGACCCGTCTGGGCACACGTGCAGTGTGTCACACGCTCGTAGGCAGGGGTGAACTGGTGAACACCCGCGTCCTGGAGCGCGGAACCCGCCACCAAGTTCGTAGAGAACGAGGGGAGGTAAAGGCCCGACAGTGTGCCGGACGGGACAGCAGGACAAGGGAGGGCAGTGGTGGAGGTCGCAAGGACCGGACCCCCGGAGGGGTCAGCCAGGGAGACAGCAACCGGTATAGGGAGCTGCTCTAGGGCAGTGCGGTCGCGAAAGAAACAGCGAGAAGCACCTGAGTCCAGTGTGAAGGTGTGCAGTGCCTCCGTAGACGCAGTACCTGAAGGCGTAGACTCACAAGCACCTGAAGCAGCGGACACACCTGCACCTAGAGCAGCAGCCTCACCAGGACCTGGGGCAGCAGACGTACTAGCATCTAGAGCGGCAGCCTCACCGGCACCTGGAGCAGCAGACTGGATACCGGGGTCAGGCGGCACACACAGGTGACAGGCCCCCTCGGCACTAGTAGACAATGCATAAATTGCAGTGAGAATAGCATCATAGTCAAGAGCAAAGATATCTACCCTCTGCCTAAGCAGCTCCACCCAGTCGGGGAGCTCAGCGTCGTCGCCAAACTCTGTACGCCAAGCGTCGCTCAGACGGGCGAAGCAGCGAGACTCTGTGTGACCAGGCGTCCCGCAAGGCTGACCAGTCCGGACACCCGTGCTAATAACGTACGGGCAGCGAGCAGTACCCAGCGACCCTCTACTCTGAGCGTACCACTCACAAAGCTGCTGGGGCGAACGAGTCTCGCTCAGACGACGCTGCTGCTGCACCGGGCCACTACAAGAAACTCCCGAACTACCCACTCCAGGACGACTCCCACTACTGCCACCCCGACAACCCCAACTGGCGTACCACTCACGAAGCTGCTGGGGCGTGAGGGACACACGCGGACGGCCCTGGAGCTGCATATGGCCACGCCAGGAGCAGCAGGAGAAGCAGTAGCAGCAGCTGTAACAACAGTAGCAGCACGGGCAGGGCAGTGCTCACCAGTGGTGGGAAGGGAAGGCGCACGACGGAGGCGACTGCGGGGCCGCTACAGCGGCAGGGTGGGGCCGCGACCGCGGCAGGGAGCTCCGCGGCAGGTGCTGCAGGGCGAGACCGAGCCGCGACGGCAGCTGGTGCAGGGCAGGGACAGGGCCGCGACGGTCGCTGCTGCAGGGGCGGCTGCTCCAGGGGCGGCTGCTCCAGGGGCGGCTGCTCCAGGGACCAGGGGCGGCTCCTGCAGTGGCGGCTGCTCCAGTGGCAGGGGCGGCTGCTGCAGGGGCGGCCACTCCAGAGGCCAGGGGCGGCTGCAGGTGCGGCTGCTCCAGGGGCCAGGGGCGGCTGCTGTAGTGGCGGCTGCTCCAGGCGCCAGGGGCGGCTGCTGCAGGGGCGGCTGCTCCAGGGGCCAGGGGCGGCTGCTGCAGGGGCGGCTGCTCCAGGGGCCAGGCGCGGGGTAGGTCAGGGTGACGCGGCGGGCAGGGGCGACGCGGCGGGCAAGGCGACGCGGTGGGCAGGGGCGACGCGGCGGGCAGGGGCGACGCGGCGGGTAGGGCGACGCGGCGGGCAGGGGCGACGTCGCGGGCAGGGGCGATGCCGCGGGCAGGGCAACGCGGCGGGCAGGGGCGACGCCGGCGGGCAGGGCGACGTGGCGGGCAGGGCGACGTGGCGGGCAGCTGGGCGCGGCCGCGTCAGTAGCAGGGCGCGGCCGCGTCAGCAGTAGGGCGCGGCCGCGTCACTGCAGGGCGGGGCCGCTTCCGCGTCAGCGACAAGGCGGGGCCGCGACTACGACCTGACGGGGCCGCGACAGCGACCTGACGGGGTCGCGCGCTGGCCTGACGGGCCTGTAGAGGCTGCGTGCGGGCGGTGAGGGCCTGCAGGGGCGGCGCGCGGTCGGGCAGAGGCTGCGCGCAGGCCTGACGGGCCTGCAGGGGCGGCTCTCGGGCCTGACGGGCCTGCAGAGGCGGCTTGGGGGCCTGACGGGTCTGCAGAGGCGGCTCGGGGGCCTGACGGACCTGCAGGGGCGGCTCGAGGGCCTTACTAGCTTGCAGGGGTGTCGCACTGGCCTAGGGCAGCAGGAGGCAGTGCGAGGGCTGCAGGACGGCACGCGGGCAGAACGAAGGGCGGGGCGCGCGAGGGCGCACTAGCAGAAAAAAGGCGCACGAGGGCGCACGAGCAGAGAAAGGCGCACGAGGGCACTCGTAAGGTAGGGCGCACGAGGGCGCTTCTAGCGGAATAGTGGGCCCGTAGTAGTAAGCGGTCCTAGGTGGCAACCTAGGCTCGTGATACCATGTCAGAATGAACAAGAGTGAATGAACTAGAAACGAGTTGGGTACAAGTAGGAAACCCTAACTTACTGTACCCCATAGTAACTACCCCACTACAGCCTAAACCAATTGTAGCAGATATAACATTTGACAAGGAAGACAATAAAGTCTCTGGAGTGACC